TGGCATTGTCCAGGATGCTGTGGTGAATTTGGTTGGCTGCTTCGCAGAGTCCCAGCTGGAGAAGGTGCGCGCCGCCCATAGTAACGCAACGCGTGCCGGAGAAGAGTCGCCGTCGTCGAACTGATCCTTTCGTCGTTCGTTTTTGTTTCATAACGACCGTGGGCAAGCGCTGCGTTGACCGAAGTTCGCTCCCGCTGGTTCAGGTGCGGTTGAAGTACTATGGGGATTCCAATGCCGCGAATTTTGCGGCCATGTGCCCGGAATAGGGATGGCTCCGCAGAGTTGCTTTAACATCTTTAACCTGCTAGCTGCTAGCGATGTCCTCCACCCTAAGTGCGATGGCCTCCAACCGAATTAATTTGAAAGCGACGGCCATGGCCTCCAACCCAAGCTTGAAAGGTACTGGCACGCACAAAATGACCATGTGCCAATCTCGGTGGATCTTGCATTTGCGATGCTGTTTCCAATAATCCCTTCCCGGCAGACAGCTCGATTTGGGAGTACTGGGTGTTCACAAAAAAATCTAGAATGTGAGGTTGTGTAGCAACTGATTGAGCATGATTGAGCTGTCACGCAGATGTCTCCATGCAGCACAAATTGGCACATCGCGAAGTACAAAATAGTTTCACCCATCAAAGCCTTGTCGGGAAGCTGAATTCTTACCCTGATGTTGTCTTTTTTCTTTCCTGTGCGCACCATGTTACAGTGATCGCATCATTTCACTGGGACTGGGATTAAGGGAAGCTAAGGTGCAATACTTTGCAATGGCAAGGCATTCCGTCGCGGCTTCAGAGGAGCTATGAGGAGCTAAAATTGCCAGCCGCGCAGTTCTTGTGCTGATCGTCTTTGTGCTTGTGATTTTAGGTTCCCCTCGGGCATGCCTTTACCGCGCATGGTTTCTTGCACCAGAATGAGGCGACCTCGTTTACGACTCACGTGCCTTCTTAAAACGGCCGAGATAGCGAGAGAGTCTGAGAGAGTGCTGTTTCAATGCACAGCATTCCTACTTAGAGTATAGGCCTTTTGACAGGTGGCCGGAGGAGGGTCCTGATTTGGTCTGAGGTGCCGCAGTGGGGCGTCTACGATGGGTGCGGTTCACCTTGCCAAGATGATGATGAGCGATGGTGTGGCTGCGCCAACGAGGCAAGCAGTGGTTCCAAGAAAAGACACCTGGGATGGTTTCAAATCACTGCATTTTGAGGAACAATCACGGGATTCCAAGGATCTGAAAAAGATTGCCAGTTATTTTTCAGACTGCTTTCTCAGAGTTCTTTTGTTTGGGAGGCTGAGCGAGGCTTCCCTAGCGCTGGGTGTGCTGAAGGTGAAAAGCGGTTTGCCGTCCCAAGCCCAAGCCTAGCAGACATAAACGTTTGTGATGTTCTGGAGTCCTGCTTTCCGCAGAGTGCCAATGCCATCTCAGGTATACAAGATCGGTGTGCAGCTTGCTTCTGAGAAACATGGAGAAACTGTGAGGGCTATTCAAGGCAAGAGATCACCACGGGCAACAGAAACCCTTGCACAAGGAACGCCAGTTCTACAGATACCACAGATGCCACAGATGAAAAACCAGCTCTGCTCTCAGAGCTTTTGTTATTGGTTCTCAGCGGGCCCACTAGAAGGGACCCATGCATCAACATGGGACTTTGCAAATAGCTTCCTCAACTTAAAGAGCTGCAATGTTGTAAAGTCTCCAGGTAAATGCCTCACAAGCACAAGCTCCCCCAGGACTTCTGCAGAGAGAGGGTTGGAATGGGCTTTGGCCGTTGACTAAAGATTTAGATTGAGCGTCGGGTTCTGGGTCGCATGCGATATGCGTCATCTTTGTCCTGCCTGGCAGGACAGTTATATTGGAAGCTTGCGGGCGAGAAGGAAGGCAATCGAGCTGTTGACTCTTGGAAAGTATGCAATGCAAGTGCTTGTCAAACCTACAAGCAAAAGTCAAGGACAGTATACAAGAGGGTAAGGGCCCCTCTAATAAGGCCCCGTTCAAGGGGCCCGAACACCTGCATATTGTGTTCTTTAGGCATTGACAGCGTTTTGACAAAGTACCCGTGTAGGTGAACCTTCCATTGAAGTAGTCATGCCCAAGGCACGCTTCATAGCAGGGCCGGTTGGATTTTAGCTTTGTCAACGTGGTGTTTCGGGCTGTTGGAATTGAAGATGCTAAGGGCACCAAAGCGACAGCGAATGGAAATGAGGTGCCGCCAGAGGGGTTGCTCCATTTTGGTGCTCCCAAATTATAGCTTGCAGCCTGGCTTTATTGGCGGAGGTTTTGGTTTATAATGCCTCCAGAGAAGAAGGCCGGGGCAGAAGCAGAGCATTGTGGAGTTCTAGGGCCAACTCAGCATGTTTTGTTTTGTAGACCTTTTCGGGATTTGTTGTGGCACAGGTGACAGCTCAAAACCCTCCAACGAGGTCAGGCTTCAATGGAGCAAAGTTGCACCCAAAGATCAAAGTTAAAGACATCAACACAACACCTCGAGTCAAGGTGGACAAAGACAAACCACCTTATATTTTTTTAAACCGCAAAAGTCTGCCTTCAAACCACTGCATGTGCAACTTTTCGACCATGCTTTGAGGCCACATCCACATCAGTTGCTCCCATCAGCAAGGCTCGGACTGCATTTGATGCAGTCCTACTATGACTCCAGGGGCGATGTAGGAGGGGTTCTTTGCTTTGAAAAGGTGAAGCTGCCTGTGGGTGTCTCAACGAACTCCTGCGAGAACGGCTGGCACGTGTTGCATAGCGTTGGCTCTTCTCCTTCACAGAGCCAACGCTTTGTAAATTAGAGGGGCCTACTATTCACACGCCAGCGGAGAAGATGTGCAAGCTTTCCGAACATTTCCAAACAACAAATCATTGCGGAGAACTGTGGCAGGCAGAAAGACGAGGCCCAACGGGGGAAGATCGAGCAATTTCATTGTCCTCCCGCTCCCCCCAATGACGGCATGTTTTCAAGGCTTCGAGGTCTAGTCCAGGTCCTAGGGTTCAGCAGCGCGGCTGGTTGGTCATAAGAATGGGCAATCTATATAATGGAACATATGTATACCGGTTTCTACAGCTGAACACTGTTCCGACATCGACTTTGCAGGTTGCTGTTTTTGCCTAGTGCATGTGCAGGTTCTTAGATGCAAGCTGGAGCAAGAAGATGTGCAGGATGTGCCGATCAAAGCCTCTTGTTTGTAAGGAGCTTTCCGGACACATGTCGACCGCAACAGCTTGGAAACTGTGTAGAATCATGTAGAATCTAGTGGACAGCCACAAGGTTCACTGAGCCCGGGGTCCGCCAGCTGCATTGCAAAGATTTCAATGACGATCGTTCAAATGGGTTCAGGTTATCGATGAGCTCTGAGAAAATGGTGCAGGAGCCACGGCGGAGTGATCGAGATTTGCAAGTTGCTCCCTACAAACGAAGTCAAGAATCAGTAACTGAATCACATTGTGAAATGATATGGTTGATGTTTCTGGAGGCAAAGTATGGTATATATAAACTGTAAATAGCTTATTTTATAGTATATTATGGTTATTTATGGTTCTTTTTACTGTCCTCCGGTGGTTCGCACATGCAAAAAATGACACGTTGGATAGCGATCTTGGTTATGAGAGAGGCTGCATATTCGAACATGTTGTGCCATTGGTGCATAATATCATAATAACGTAAGAAACTTTTTTTGTTATGGTCCTTTTTTGATTTGTCCTGCAAGACTTGAGCCATTTATAATATAAGTTGAATTGACAGCAGCTCATAGTCATAGTTCTTTCAACGCGACTTCCAAGCAAAGCTCAGGGATGGACCGTGTGCTGAAACATTTTTTTGGGCCGTATTTGAACATTATGTGCTGCCCAGAAAGCCCTTCTCTACAATAAGGATTTGGTGTTTAGGTATTTGCACATTCTGTTTGATTGCCCTTAGAACTTGACAGTATTCAAAAAATTGGCTTGAATGATCTTGATGTGGTGGCAAAGGCCCAGGGCATCCGAAGCACCAAGAGCAGTCCTTCAAAGGTAAATGGAAACTGAACTCATTTGATTTCGGTGGAACATGTTGGTTTGATTTGGTTTGTTTTGGATTTCAGCGGTAGTTCTTCGATGACAAAGGGGTACCACTATGCCACTCGTTTCGGGCATTGCAACGTAGTTGCTCGGAACCACAATTCGACTCTGATCTCTTGGATCGACGCACATCGACGAGTCATGCTCTGTGCAGCTCAACGCATCGACAGATGCCCGCGCGAGGCGGTTGGATGTGTGGAGACCCAAGCGCGTGTTGGTGATGTTTCGGGGGAATCTGGTGATCGAACTTGCAACGCAGCTCGTTTCAAGAGATCGGCTTTGCATGGTGATGTTGCGCAGGTCTTTTTCGCAGTGCCAGACGCGCTTGGACGTTGTGGCACCCAAAGGAGAAACACCGATATATGCAGCATTGCCGATATTGGATGATTGTGGAACATCAGAAGAAGTGCCTGCATCATAGTTTGTTTGTACTTGTTCTCTTAGTAATTTTTCCTCCGTCCGGCGGGGTTGTATATCCCAGTCTGTATGCAGCAGTTGTTAATGACAAGGCTTGAGCTGCACTGCATAATTGACATTAGGTCTCTTTTTGAACAGTGTCACCTACAGCATCATTCACCACCCTCGATCGAGACCGTTTTGCTCTTCAGCTTTGAAATTACAGTCAGAGACATGTGTCCCCGACAGATCCGACGTGTGTCCCCGGCGTTTTGCTGTTTGGTTTTAAGTGGAACACTTGGCCCCAAGTTTCCACCTCTTCTGCCCACGACCTCAGGGGTGGGCCGTCCATCATCTATAAGAGCATTTCAAGAGTGTAACCCCGTCAGAGCGACAAGAGCATAAAGCGAGTGGGACAGCATGGCCAACAGACAGTCGTTGCCCTTTTCCACTTCTGAAGAGAGTTGGACCCACGTTCTTTCTGACTTTATTGCTTCCCTTTTGTTGTGCTTTTCCCGGAGCATCTCACCAGTTTGACTTGCTGACTGACTTGGCTCCAGTTTTTAACTTTAGAATTTTATATAGGTCATTCTTGGTGGTTTGGTCGGGCCATGAAGCCGCGCGGTTGGTGCGGTGCTCAGCCGGTGCCACACCATTCGCGGAAAAAGAACGCGTGGTTTCCAGTTCCAGGGCCCTCGTTCTCTTCCACGTGGCCACCTTGGCCGTGATCATCGTACTCTTTTCTCATGGCGTGGGCCTCAACAGGCAATGCCAGGAGCTACTAGTAGCGTCCTTGTTACTAGTAGGAATGGCCTCCAACCTAGTAGCGATGGCCTCCAATGTAGTAGCGTCTTGCTACTAGTAGTAATGCCAGGAGCTACTTCTTGTTACTAGTAGTGATGGCCTCCAACCTAATAGCGATGGCCTCCACCCTAGTAGCGTCCTTGTTACCTAGTAGCGGCGGCCTCCAACCTAGTAGCTTCTTGCTAGTAATGCCAGGTCCTTGTTACTAGTAGGAATGGCCTCTAACCTAGGAGCGATGCCTCCAACCAGAAGTATTGCCAGGAGCTACAAGTAGCGTCCTTGTTGCTAGTTGGAATGGCCTCCGGCCCAGTAGCGATGGCCTCCAACGTAGTAGCTTCTTAATAGTAGTAATGCCAGGAGCTACTAGTAGCATCCTTGTTACTAGTGGGAATGGCCTCCAACCTAGTAGCGATGGCCTCCAACCTAGTAGCTTGATGGTACTAGTAGTAATGCCAGGATCTACTAGTAGCGTCTTTGTTACTAGTAGGAATGGCCTCCAATCTAGTAGCTTCTTGTCACTCCCAAGATGCGTAGTTTGTCATGTTCCCGGCTGCACTTTGAGCTGGACGTTTGGACCACCCTCTTAGGCCGGCCTGTGAGTTTCACAGGCTCCTGCAAAGAGGCACCTGGAATCACTGTGCACCATTTTGTGCACTTATAATTTGCACTTGGCCGTTTCCTGAAGAGGCGCCCAGGCTACAACCTCGCCCAAGGACAAACCCAAGCTGCTGGCCTTGGTTTGCCGCTTTGCCTTCAACAATTTTGCACTATTGGCCAGCTCTCAAGAAGCCCTCCCTTCGCAGTAGTGGCTCAAGGAAACCTCCAGGCAGTAGCAAGCATTCAAGTCATTCAGCCTGACTCAGCCTGACATGTTCGGGCCACGCCCAGCACTTGAATTTCTAAAGACTCACGATAAAATAATATGTAATTATATAATAAGATTAACATATATATATATATGTTGTGTTTTTTATTTACATATATACACACACATATATATATTTATACACATACACATGCATACACATATACACATTCTACATTATATATTCTATATGTTGTGGACCAACGTCACGGAGTCCAGCCTACAACAAACATTGTTGCACGATACTTAGCATTTTGTACCTCTCGAGGGGGGGATGCTGGAATTGAGCCATGAGATGGAGCTCAAGGCTGCCAGTTGGAACGGTGCATTGAACGGTGCACAGCCCTTTTGGAAAGCCCAAACCGGTGCACAGCTTGTCTCAGGTGGTTGCTGGAAATGAGACGAAAGTGCTCTTGCATGACTTGCCAGATGTGATTGCGGAGAGTGATGTTCCGGGATTCTTGGCACAGTACGGCTATAAGGCAGGATATTTTGTTGAATGCACTGCTCACAAGAATTTACACGCGCCCCCCAGAGGGTGCATGTGCGGGGTCGGCTCTAGACCAGTGTCCCAGAGCTTCAGTGCTCAAAGTGTCAAAGAGTTTGTGCAGGCCAAGAGTGCATCCGAATGGTTTCAATGGAAAGACCTGCCAGCTTTGACGCTTCATGTGTGTGGCCATACCAAAGCACCTCGGCCAATGCGTGCAAGCCCTGAAGACGCCTAAAATGGCATATAGGCTCCAGGCAATTGAGGTGGCACCAAATTGCCAGGTAGATGGGCACATGTTCTATGATGCCACTTGTATGCATTTGGCAGGACCAGCAGCATTGCAATAGGCAGTGCAGGCTTGGAAAGGTGAATCGCCTTGCCCAGGTGAAGTGTGCGCTGGCTGAGCCAGGAAACTGGCCTGCAAGCTCAGGAAACAGACCTTTGTTCCCAGACTTCCCAGATCGGACCCCATACAGGACTCAAATGCAGGACCTGGCACTCAGGCATTCGCCTTACCTTTCATGGCGCTCTCTTCGGCGATTGTGCCATTTGCGAGAGGCCAGAAGCGGTCGGGCGAGACAGTTTGAGACATCCGAAGCTTTGCAGTAGAGCGCATGCTGAAACAAAAGCTCACCTACTGTAGGGCCTTCACGACCCGGTGAAGCGTTCGCTCTAGCCTCAGAAATCTCTCGCAGCTTTGTAGAAGATTGGATTTGTCAAAAAGGCATTTGATTTTGCGGTTCGCACTCGGCGTGCTCTTTTCTTGAGCCAAATGCACTTCTCGATTTGTGCGATCTTAGGGGCCATGCTTACCACACTCCCCCTGCTCCATTGAGGAGCATTTCATGGCTTCCGGAGGTTTTTTTTCTCCGTCAGCCATCCAAACAATCATTCAAATTCACTGTCCGATTCTTCAATCTCTGAATCCGACCAGACAGTTGAGTTGATCCTCACAGGCCTAAGCCCCGCATCCCTCCATGGTTCCCGTCGACAAGTTGAAGGGGCCTTTCTGGGCTGCACCGTTGCTACGTGACCTCACGCTCAGGGACATCCCTTCATGGGGCCAAGGCAGATTCAGTTGACCCGATAAGCGTCTCTATTGGTTGTCTCGCTCCCTCCTGGAGGCTCCGCCCAATTGGGGCCAAGGTTTACATTGGACTGCAATGTATCCCGTCCTCGAGCTCCAGCTGTGCTGCGAAGCTCATCGGCATCATAGCCACCCCTCCTAGGGACAGCTTCAGTCGCTCCCAAATGGCTCCATATGCACTCGTTGGTAGGTTCGCTGGAAGACTCGCATTCTCCTTCATCTTGAAGGGTTCTCCCTCCGAGCCAGTGCACGAATGGCAGGCGGGTTCATCTCCCCTCGCATGATCTTGTAGTCCATACAGTGGATCTTCGTCATTTCTTGTCGGCCCCCAGGCTCGTTTTCTTGAACCTGCACTGGCAGCCCAGTGCATCGCCCAGCTAGCTCCCACAGCCGGCCTCTATGGAGGTGAGCCTGTTCAGTGGGAATCGAGACAGCAGGCATTTTGCACGCTGTCCAGTGCTCAGGCGGAGATCCTGGGGTACAGGGGGTACAGGGAGGCTATGACTATGGGTGATTCGTTGGCAGCGGTGGTGAACATCCTGGAGGGAAATGAGCTGCAGGCCACTGGATCATGGTGATAACCAGGCTGGGCTAAGGATCTTGGAGGTGCCAGATGGACCTTGGAGGACGAGACACCTTTGACTTCGAGCTCATGCCCTTCGAGGGCTGATGGAAGGTGAGTCATGTGCCGGGACGGAGTCTGGTGGCAGATCTTCCCACGAAGCCCATTGGAATGGGCGCCAAATGGAAGGCGTTCTAAGTGGCCAGGATCGCTGCGCCGGTCAACCTGAGGGAGGTCCGATTTGCAGCCTCATATAGCAGATGGATCTCCTCCGGGTAGATCTTCTGGGGCCGCCATTTTTTTAAAGAATAATTGGCCCAGAATGCGGGGTCATGTTGACAGTGTCCCAAGAGGCGCCGGGCATATTCTTGGACTCCTAGAAGTTCTCCCACGATGGCCTGAGGCAAGGTCGCCTCTCTCCCCCCCCGGCTCATCAGGGAAAGCTGGGAAGGGAGATCCGATTGGGTCACATCTTCTAGGCCTGCTGCCCCACATAGACACCTCCCCTTATCGGCTTTCAACTTGAACCCATTGAACTTTGTCCGGGCCTTCACAGTCTTGGTTCCTGATGAAGTCATCCACATAGGCGGCAAAGAGGTGTGACGCAAGGCTGTCGTTTGATGATCTTGTGCTTTGTGGAAGTGAGGCTTGGTACCGCATATCGGGAAGTCTTCGGCAATGCAAGTTTTGCCTCGTCGCTCCACTTGCCAGGCTCTGGTGTGAATTGGGGTGTGATGAATACTGCTGGGGATAGTCCTGTTGCGGCAAATTTCATCAGCAAGTGTGTGGTATCTTGACAGAGGACAACATGCTATACACAGTACACACCCAGTATAGAGGCCCGTCATGCCAGGCACCTCTGCCCGCCTGAACAGCCACCCACTCAGACGAGATCGCCTCCGTGCGCACTGTGGGCGCAGGGACCAGGTGTGGTGTTTGCACCGCAGCCGGGTTCGTTCGGCCACAGTGATGCTTGGACTGTCCATGGACAGTGTCACGGCTGCAACCGAGTCCTGAGGTTGGTTTCAGAAGTTGTCTGGCTGCCTCAACCGCAAAGAAATGTCCCCGGCACTGACCGCTGCGGCGTTGCAGGCCTGGAAGAGTTTTGTCGCTTGAGGACAATCGAATGTGTTGATGGTAGGTAATTGCTATTATACTATGATTACTTGCTTTATCCACTGTATCTTTATCCCACTTGCTTTGGACCCTGGATCCACAAAAAGTGCTACGCATTACAGCCTTGGCTTGTGCACATTTGGATGCGCAGCTGCTTGGTGCACCAGATGCTGCAGAGGCTGCTGAGACTTGGCTGCAGCAAAGGAGACCAAGGCTACGTATGCAAGCCAACACCTACCGTAATGTTACATATATAATACGTTGCTATTATGCATATTCATTCAAATTTGGTAAACTTGTTGTTGAAAAGCCATAAAGGAATTAAATGTAATTTTAGCGATGGATACACAAAATAGTATAAACTTTGCACATACTGTAGATATATATATATATGTTTGTTTACAGCACCAGCTTTATTAGTCTGATATTTATGCATGGGTCGGGTGGTTAGCTTGCTTTAATTCTTCTCGCCGAGGTCCTTTTACAAATCTGAGAAACGTCCGCCTAGTCACCTTTCATGCGATTTTGTATATTCTGTCACTCTACGGTAGTAGTGTTGTTCCCTTTGACCTTGCGGCCTGTGTTGGACACAATTGCCCCTTAGCCCCCCCTTGGAGCCACTTGAACTTCTGATCTTGAGAAAGCAGGTCAAACAACTGAGGCATATGTCTTCTTGGTTCCAAAGGACCCAGCAGTGGCGGCAGTTCTTTTTTCGGTTTCCAAAAGAAAGAAAGAAAGGCCTCTCTGGATTCCTGGAACACTGAGGCTCGGTCCGTGGGCAGCCCATCGTCAGTTGCTAAAGGCCCTCGGGATAAGCTGTTGGACATTTTGAGACATCCAAGTCGTTTCACCTTCGATGTCTCCAAAACAGACACATGGAGTCCCATTTTGTGTGTGTTCGCTTACTGTAACATGTTCCGACGATACCACCTGGCGGGCCAACAATGTTGCCTATGATTTCCGTGATTTCCGTTTCTAATGCAGTTGAATGTTCGCAATCCAACGGAGTGCCATGGTTGGCTGAACCTGGAAAGAGTCAATTAATTTGACTCTGCCAGCACCGTCAGGCACTGATGGTAGCCCAGAAGTTGCGACCACGAGCACCCTTGCGGCCACTGGACTGAGCATGGGTATTGCCGGTGGCTGTCATGATGGACAGAACCAGGGATCAGTTGGAAGTTTCTGCTTTTTGTTGCAAGCTTGTTGACTTTTGTGGACCTCGAATTGTTGGAATCTTGTGACGTTGGCCTAGGCATCCAATGTTGCCAGCATGGACGACTTGGATGAGCCCCAAGACGGCTTCAATCCGTTCAGCAAGGCACTGTCGAAACAATTGAAACATGCCTATTGGAAGTCTACTGACTAGCGTTCGCTTGTTGCAAAACTTGTGCTGCAGGATCTTGAGCAGGAAGTTGCAGATGTTGATGAGGACAGGCCCCTAATAATATGTGACTTGTGCTGGGCCAGTGAACACCGATGCGCAGCAGGAGGAGTCTCATTCTCCTCCCCTCCTCTCTGATAGTGATGTTCAGTCGCTGGAGAATGGCTACTCAGCAGAAGCAGCACTGGGATACAAACACCCGACACTGCACCGTCCTACATGTGCAACCTTTAATTTCTTATGAGCTAAACTCAATATTGGTGAAAGTGACCCATGGTCAGTGAGTGGTCATGGGATTTCAATATTAATGTTTCGCTCAAAAAACGGCAACACTCTCACCAAAAGCAATAACATGAGGGACATGAAAAACGATAATACACTTACTCCACAAAAAATTGACCGTCACTGTCAGTGATATGCTGTATATAGATCTATTTATATAGCATGTTTGTATTTCGCTTTGTGACTTCGGAGCCATGCTGCTGTGAACCCAGGTGCTCACAGAGCAGAGCAAGATGACTGAGTGCGCCATGGTTTTCCATACAGTTGTCTATATTAGGCCTTTGGCATTTCATGGATTTGCCGTAAGGGAGTCTGGAGCCTTTGTGAGGGTCCATGGTGCAATCTTCATTGTGAGATTGTCCAAATGGCGCTGTTGTGCCGTCACCGGGGCGTCCGGCTTCAAGGAGGACGCGTGTTGACGTGTCTGCCTCACATGTTCAAGAGGTCCGTCATGGTCCTTTCCAAATATGGTGAATCCAGTGAAGTGCTGCACTTCACTGGTTAATCAAGCAACTTGTGTCCAAGACCATCTATAACTTAAAAAGAACCTTAAAAAAATAACGTCCAAGACCATCTACAACTTTGTAGAATTTTAACAACACACACACATATATATATATATAATATGTATATTTAGAACACTTGAACATGACCTCGCCAAGTGCAAGAGTGCACTCTGGCTGTATGCGGAGAAGGATTTGTGTGCCCAACGAAGTTGAGAATTAAAGAAAAGGCAGGGCTTTGCGCTGCAGAAGCGATGCAAGACACGCAAAGCATTTGGAAGCACCTGGCTGAACATGGCTGACACATAGAGCACACCCAACGTGCTTGGAGTTCCGTGGTGAGGAGCATGTTGAAGCCCCTCTCGAAGTCACTGCCATCACCGTCACAGGAGCGCACCAAGAGCGATGAAAGGCCTCGGCGCAGCGACTCGCCAGGCCTCGCCCGTCCGTGGGGTCGCTCGTGGTTCTGCCAGGCTGTGGCCATTCTTGGCGGCAGTCTGCGCCTTCATCGTAGGTATCGCGCCGATGCAGGTGCGAGAAGAGAGCAGAGCATCAGCCAAGCAGGTGTCCAGTCAAATTTCTCCATCGGAGATGTCGGGCTTTCTCAAGAATGCGCGCATAGCAACAAATCACCCCAAGAGCGGCATGAATGAGCTGTCAGGGGCTGGAGCCAGTAGCACAGGCGATGGGTGTTTCTGAACGTTCTGCTACACTTTGTTCATTTGAGTTCCCTGTAGGCCTTCGAGGACCTCAATCCAGAAGAATCCGTCACAGTGGATTTGTTTGTTTCTGAGCTGTTCGTTCTTTCCCTTGGATTCAGTGAATGAAGCTCATTGAAGCGCTGAGGTTCCAGAAGAGCACTCCTGGAGTCGTTTTTGTCACGAATGAGGTAGTTGAACATGGCTGAGCAAGCAGGAGTTCACCAAGCTCATGTTTCAGGTGTTCAAGCTGGCAAACACACAGAAGATGGAGGTGGAGGCAACATATCACTGGGCGGGGGTATCATGATGTCACGCTAAAACCGCAAGCGTAGGATGGAACTTCTTCTTTGCAGGGGTGATTCATGGGGCCACCGGTTCAGGCTGTGCCTACTGGAACTGGCAGTGGCTGGGCTGCTGCCCAAGATTTCGGCACTTTGCTGGGCAAATTGAAGGTCATGCTGTTATGAAGGTCTTTGACAATGAGGGGCACATTATCACGAACTACCACGTCATAGAGTGTCCTGGCATGGTATAGCATTCTTCGTCCTCAACAACTTGCCGGTCAAAGTCGCATGTGTGTTTGCCAGGAAGGCCAGCTTTGTAACGGTCAAGTTCATTGAGGGAACTGAGGCAGGTCGGGTCTTTCGTGAGCAACGCCTGTTTGTACTTGCTGCTTCCATGTACGTAGCAACTTCGCATTCCAATGCATACGCAATACGTATTAACAAATACTGAGTATGAGTATATAGTACCATGCCGTAATGACTGTAATGACCCTCAATTTTCCTTGCTTTCACCTAATTACATGGCCTACATACGTTGAGCTAAACATTCTTAGAGATGTATATATTTGGCGTCCTTTTCGCCACTTGAGTGCAACGAAACAGCGCAGGTGGTGGCAAAAGTCATAGGTGCAGACGAATACAGCGATGTTGCTGTTCTTCAGGCCTCAGGGGCAGAAAGACATGAGAATTATGGGATCTGACAAGCACAAGAACGAACCTTCCAGCAGCCATGTGCTCATGTTGAGGTAGATCTTCCAGCCCAGCGCAAAGCAATGTTGCGGCCTTTACAGCGAGGCACCAGCCGAATCACTCACTACCTTCTCATGGACATTTGATCACTTTGGAGGCACGTCAGCGGGCTTGCGGGTGGGCCAAGAAGTGTATGCCATCGGAAATCCGCGCCTTGGCACTCTGAAGGGTCACCCTTGGACCTTCTGGGCCCTTCTGCATGCAGCCTGCTCTGGGATGCTTTGGGTGATCCTTCTGTCAGCATGCGAGGTTTGGCTTGGACCACACCCTCACAAAGGTGAGAGACCTGGGCATTTCAGGATGCGCTTTCGACCGCGGGGAAGATCGGAGACGCGCGACGATGCTTTCTTGCTACTAGTAGTAATGCCCTTGCTACTAGTAGCTTCTTGCTCCTAGTAGTAAGGCCAGGAGCCCCTAGTAGCGTCCTTGCTCTTAGTAGCGATGCCCTTTGCTCCTAGTAGCTTTTTGCTACTAGTAGTAATGCCCTTGGTTACTAGTAGCGATGCCTTTAGCTACCAGTAGCTTTTTGTTTCATTTTGTTTCCATCCCAATTCTGTGTCCAGGGCATCGTGTCTGGTGTTGGTCGAACAATCCAGTGACTGGGCAGCATAGAGGTGCTAGGCCGCGCCGGACAGTGCTAACAAGGGTGGTGGTAGTAGCATAGCAATGCATAGCCTGTTGCTTGGCGCCCGTGTCCAGTCTGCACTCTGCAGCGGAATTTGAGGAGTGTGGGCGGCCGGCCCATCCAGGGTGCCATCCAGACAGATGCATCCATCAACCCTGGGTCCAGCACTAAGTCTAACATAGATGACTTGAGTTCAATCTGGTCCCAACGTCCCATTCCAATTAATTAGCCAACAATTGTGCCAAGAGTTAAGATGAACAACACATTGCTGATCACACATTGGGGAATCAGAGAGACCCAGAGCATCCAGGAATAGCGGAGGGCCTTTGCTCAACTCCCGGGGGCAGGCTCGGACCTGCTGACCAATTGTCGGACATGATAGGACAGGGCTGGTTCCGGTCCTCTTAGATTCTAACTGGGAAATTGTCAACACATCCGAAAACTCTGAAAGATCCGTTGATTCAACTGCATACTGCGACTCGTGATGGGAACAGCTGCTGGGGTGGTGACGTGACATGCCAGGCGGCATGTTGTTTGTTTTTGTTTGGCTTGCGCTCCTTTTTAAAGCGTCTTTTTGGGTTCCAAGAACCACACACTACTCTAACTGGCCCGTTCTTTTTTTGGAACCATGACATGGTGTAAGGAAACCATGACGGAGCACATTGGA